TAAGATAATGAAAATAATAATAATAATATAAACGGGGAATTAAAACAAAGAACAAAAAAAAGAAAAAAGAAAACCCACTCATCACCATCACTGCATCACAACCACTTATTTCCCTTTTCCTCAATTAAACCCGAATCGGACCAGCGTGTTCTTCCTGAGACATCTGTTCTTCATCTGTTCTCGTCCTGAGATTTGTTCTCGAGCGTCGAGGGTCAGTGAAGGGCAGGCTGTGTTCTCTTCGGCTCCTGTTCAGCAGAGAACTTCTGGCTATGTTGTTATTATTATTGTTATTGTTGTTATTATTATTATTATTGTTATTGTTGTTGTTATTATTATTATTGTTATTGTTGTTACTATTATTATTATTGTTATTGTTGTTATTATTATTATTATTTTATTGTTGTTATTATTATTATTGTTGTTGTTGTTTTGTTGTTGTTGTTTATTTATTTCTTTTATTTGTTTGTGTGTTTGTTTGTTTGTTTGTTTGTTTGTTGTTTGTGGTCCTTGAAAGATAGATGTCTATCTATCTATCTATCTGAGTCTTTTATCTTCGTTTATCTCTATCCATCTACATTATGTATTTATCCTTATATATGGAGATAGACAGACACAGAAATAAAGACTTCGAAATAGACAGTTCAGTGGAATTAAAGTGTTTTATTTTTTATGCGCTGGAAAATGGGCGACGTATTTTGCAAAAATAAATAACTGTTCGGAAAAGAGAGTTGACTGCTCGAGTAAAAAAGAGAGAAAAGAGAGAGGGAGAGAGGGAGAGAGAGAGAGAGAGAGAGAGAGAGAGAGAGAAAGAGAGAAAGAGAGAAAGAGAGAAAGAGAGAGAGAGAGAGAGAGAGAAGAGAGGAGAGAGAGAGAGAGAGAGAGAGAGAGAGAGAGAGAGGGAGAGGGAGAGGGAGAGGGAGAGGGAGGGAGGGACGGAGGATTATAAAGAGATAGAGATATCGATAGATAGTTAGATAGATAGATAGATAGATATATAGATAGATAGATAGATAATTAGATAGATAGACAGAGAGAGAGAGAGAGAGAGAGAGAGAGAGAGAGAGAGAGAGAGAGAGAGAGAGAGAGAGAGAGAGAGAAAGGCTTGTAAAAAAAAATTTTACTTGAAAAAAAATACATATTGCCAGTATTCATCAGAAGTGTATGTAAATTGATTCCTACAATGGGGCGCCATTTGGACGATTCGGTTAGTCTAATATCATTATCCGATCCTCCACAAAAATAAAAAAAAATAAAAAAAAAAGGAAGAAAAAATCAGGCAAGCATTTTACGAGAGTCCCCATTACGAATTCGTGAAGCTATCATAGACCATGAATTATTATTCGTATTTTAGGCTTTTTTCGTTTTTTTTTGGGGGGGGGGTGGGGGGGGGGGGGGGGGGGTGGGGGGGAGTAATTGGTAAAAAATGAAGGAATGGAACAGACCGGGAGGAAAAAGGAGGTAAAAAAAAAAAATCTTTTATCATATAAAATGGCATTTTGTATTTCACTTCCCGTTTTTTATGCGAGAGGAAAAGCGTGACCGGTAACTATTTTTTTTTCTCTATTACGGATAATTATTTTTTTTCCTTTGCTGAGTGGATGATGCAGTTAGTAACATAATTTTTTTAAAGACTTAATACTAATTCGTTATTGAGATATTCAGTCGCAAATTCCACACTACTCATGGCGTAAAAAATATAAATAAAAAGAGAAAATATGATACTTATATTTATAACGGTTACATTACCAATCCTTTTCCGACGTTTTGTGCAAAGAAAACGCGATCCAATTTCGTTTTTTCTTTTTCTTCTTCTTCTTCTTCATAAAAAAAAAAATTAGTGAGTTTCCGCTGGCTGAACTTCTAGCTTAGAGATTGCAATATTCTAATGCAAGATCAAGATTGCAAAGGGCGAGGCGTTCCCTTGCATTGGGCTATTAGGATGTTCCCCCCACGGAGAAGGGAAAGAAGAGGGAGAGAGAGAGAGAGAGAGAGAGAGAGAGAGAGAGAGAGAGAGAGAGAGAGAGAGAGAGAGAGAGAGAGAGAGAGAGGGAGAGAGAGAGAGAGAAACCTCTCTTCCCTCCCTCCTTCTCCTACCTCTTCCTCCTCCTCCCCCTCCTCCTCTCCTCCTCTCCTCCTCCTCCTCCTCCTCCTCCTCCTCCTCCTCCTCCTCCTCCTCCTCCTCCTCCTCCTCCTCCTCCTCCTCCTCCTCGTTGTTGTTTCTCCCTCTCCCACTCCCCCCACCTCTTCCCCTCCCTCCCACCTCTTCCCTCCCTTTCCCCCCGCCCCTCCTCCCCCCCGCCCTCCTCCTCTTCATTATCATGCACAACGGGACATGCACGCTCCCCATTTTGCTTGTCCAAGGTGCATTATGAGGGTGGAAAGCAATGATTTACCTCCGCGGCCGTTTTGGTTGCAATGCGCTTTGTTGGGTTGACTTAGGTATTATGGGGGGGGAACCTTTATTGATTTTCGCTTTTTTACTCGTTTTTGGGAGGGTGGG